TGCAGCCAGGGATTCTGGGTAATAACATACCTTACCTCATAATCACACAGTATACAAAACTTCCCCTGCAGCCAGGGATTCTGGGTAATAACCTGCTGTAGCCCATAAGCACACAACATAGAGAGCTTCCCCTGCAGCCAGGGATTCTGGGTAATAACATACCTTACCCCATAATCACACACCATACAGAGCTTCCCCTGCAGCCAGGGATTCTAAGTAATAACCCACCTTACCCCATAATCACACAGTGTACAGAGCTTCCCCTGCAGCCAGGGATTCTGGGTAATAATATACCTTACCCCATAATCACACACCATACAGATCTTCCCCTGCATCCAGGGATTCTAAGTAATAACCTACCTTACCCCATATTCACACAGCATACAGAGCTTCCCCTGCAGCCAGGGATTCTGGGTAAAAACCCACCATACCCCATAATCACACAGTATACAGAGCTCCCCTGCCATTGGCGGATGTGGGGTGGGGGGCAACGGGGCAATTGCCCCCCGAGATTCTCCCCTGCCGGCTAATGCAAGGCTGGCATTGTCTAAGCGCCAGCCCTGCTATGTGCCTGCGGACTCCCTCCCCGGTCCGCAGGCACATTGCTGACAGCCGGCAGGGGAGGGAGAGAGGACTCGGGAGCCCAGTCTGCAGCTCCTCCGGGTCCTCATCTCGCGAATACGGAGCGTTGTTGCGGTTACCATGGCAAAGCTCCAAATCTCGCAAGAGTGAACTCTAGCCCTGGAGCGTGGGCTAGACTTCACTCCACACTGGAACGACCAGGGATTCCCACTGGGACCACCAGGAACGGAGAAATGTCCCCCCTCCTCCTCAATAAAGGTAAGAAGGGAGGGGGGACATCAACATATTTATTTTATTAAATAAAACATTTTTATTATTAAAAAGCCTCCCTACCCTCCTCCCCCCCATACACATATACACTGCCCCCCATCCACACACACTGCCCCACAAACACTGCCCCCATACACACACTGCACACCATACACACTCTGCATACCCATACACACACTGCCCCACAAACACTGCACACCCATACACACACAGACACATACAGTGCCCCAAACACACATACAGTGCCCCCCATTCACACACTGCCACCCTCACACACACACACACTGCCCCACACATACACTGCCCCCTAACACACACTGCAACCCTGACATACATTGCCGCCTTCACACTTCACCGCTCACACACACACTGCACCTTTCACACACACTTCACCCCTAACACACACCACTGTTCCTATGCCCTATATCCCAGCAGACCCCAGGTAAGTTGTCAAACTGTTCTTAAACGGTATGACTACTTACTCTAGGGTGGGATCCTGGAACTACTGGCACCATAACTACTACACTGAGCTGTAGTGGTTATTGGGCCAGGATTATTTATTTAAATAATCTACAAGTGCCCCTCCCGAGATCAGGCTCTGGATCCACCACTGTCCCCTGCAGCCAGGGATTCTGGGTAATAACCTACCTTACCCCATAATCACACAGTATACAGAGCTTCCCCTGCAGCCAGAGATTCTGGGTAATAACCTACCTTACCCCATAATTACACAGTTTACAGAGCTTCCCCTGCAGCCAGGGATTCTATAAAAAAAAAAAAAAACTGTACTGAGGTACAATAATCCTTAATATTAAAATCAGAAAAGCTAAATAATTATAATTATCAGCTATGGAAATTCAAGCTTGTGGGATATGCCAATGGCCTAGTCACTCATGAAAAAGGAACATAAAGATAAGACAAGCAAAATAAACTATAAGCCTTCTAGTGAATGATGATCAACTGATTCACATTATAAGTGAAGGAGTGAATAGTGTGTGAAACTTGATAATAAAAATAGTACCATCGCTAATATTGAAGAGATGTACAATATCACAAACTTGTGAGATACAATTAACAAACAGCTGCTATCTCACCATAGGCTTATCTTATAGAATAGCAATTGTGAACCAGTGTGATGGTGAAGCGCTTATAAAAATAAAATTATATCGGTGATTTTAAGTGCAAAAAAGGAAAATAAAGGTATGATATTTCTTGTATAACTTAAGCCATTTATCCTATATTGAGGTTTTAGTGGTCAGTATGAAGTTCCTTAAAAACATAAATACAAAAACCATTTCATTGTGTAAACCGTAATATATATAGTGGAAAAAGGTAGAGTAAATTCCCCACTCACAATTTTAAGAGCTAAACAGTTAAGCTCAGTTAGTGCGCTCTTAGGGTCGGTAGTTGGTGACCCTCTCCCTTCTTTAGGTGGTGTGCTTTATCCTTTGTCCTATATGGCAGATGGAAAAAAGCGCATATGGTGCAATAATGTTGAACTTATTTTATAAAGGTGGCAGGGTAAATAGGGTACTTACAATCCCAGAGCCTTCCAAATAGGCTCAAATGTAGTGGCGTATTTGATTAAGAACCACACTCCTTCTTTCAAGATATAGCAGGAAAAATGCCAAAAATAAGTAGTAAAGTTGTAAAAAATATATATATATATATATATTATAAAACTATATATAGAAATATATAAAAAAATATATTAAAATAACAACAACACTATATTGGCAAAAAAAAAGTCCAGTATTCTGTTTCTATGTCTCACAGTTTCTCCAGGACACGTTTTGCCGTGTAGAAAAGTCTTTGTAGTTTGGATAGACAAGTCTTTGTAGTTTGTGAAACTTATTCTAGAAGTTATGAACATTCAGCTTTAAAGAGTAAACTGTATATTTTAAGCAAACTGTAAAAGTAAGAGGCCACAAAAATGCCAGAGAATACAGAAGTGTGTTAATACCAAGCCAAGAAGGAACTGTGTAAACACAATGTGCAATTGGGAAGACTATAAAGTACAATGTTATAATGTCAATATTGCTTTACAGTTTTTCACAGTAACATAAATGTGCCCTAGAAGCTATTCATGTGTCATACATTGCACTATAACATACTAAGTAATACTAGTGCCCTAGAAGCTATTCATAGGTGAGAAAATGTGCTGTAACACGCTAAGTAACACTTAATTAATAAATAAAACAGAAGAAAGAAAAAAAAATTTAAAATTAGTTTTTAAAAAGTTTTTAAAAAATAGAGGGACCACAAACAGTTATCAAAGTTCATGAGGACACAAAGAAACATGTTTTAATACAAAATGTCAGGACATTTATAAAACTAAACAAAAAGCAAAAAGCAAAAAAAAAAAAAAGAAAGAAACTTTTATGTCTTAAAATCAGAGCAATGGATGAAAGTGTCAGGATCTCTGATGAAAAGAACCAATGCAAACAAGAAGTAAACCATCACACTATATAGAGTGGATGTTTTAATCCTACTGGAAATAATGCTTTATAAAGATGTTAAACTGATTCAGGGTCAACATGCAACATGACAAATTCTTCAAAGATATTTAAAGGACCACTGTAGGCACCGAGACCACTTCAGCTCAATGAAGTGGTCTGGGTGCCAGGTCCCACTAGGATTAACCCTGCCTGCTGTAAACATAGAAGTTTCAGAGAAACTGCAAAGTTTACTTTAGGGTTAATCCAGCCTCTAGTGGCTGTCTCATTCACAGCCGCTAGAGGCTTCTGCGCTTCTCACTGTGATTTTCACAGTGAGAAGACTCCAGCGTCCATAGGAAAGCATTGAGAATGCTTTCCTATGGACTGGCTGCCACGCATGCGCATTCAGCCGATGACGACCAAAGGAGGAGGAGAGTCCCCAGCGCCGAGGGAGCACGGCGCTGGAGAAAGGTAAGTGTTTAACCTCCTTCCTCCCCCCTTCAGGGAGTGGGACCCTGAAATTGGGGGCACCCTCAGGGCACTATAGTGCCAGGAAAACAAGTTTGTTTTCCTGGCACTATAGTGGTCCTTTAATTTACTGTGAAACACAGAGGTCTTGTTTACAACCTTGTCACTACTTTCTACAGGCCAGCTGCTACTCGCTAAAATACTTGTCGCTACTGTTAGTGAGCAGCCACTGGTTACTGCAAAATTTTATCAGATAGATAAAAGCAGCAGCTAGTGAAAGCCATTTGCTAACTAGCAGATTTAAACAGCTCTCCTTATTTTTCATGGAAGCCACTAATCATTACTTAGTGACTACTTTCTGACTAGTTAACAACACTGTTGCTACTCTTTACTATCTGTCACTAATAGTGATGTCCCGAACGGTTCGCCGAACGGTTCGCCACGGATGGCTAACATATGACCCTGTACCTCACAGTCAGCAGACACATTCCAGCCAATCAGCAGCAGACCCTCCCTCCCAGACCGTCCCACCTCCTGGACAGCATCCATTTTGAAGCTGCATTCTTAGTGAGCTGTCCAGGAGGTGGGAGGGTCTGGGAGGGAGGGTCTGCTGCTGATTGGCTGGAATGTGTCTGCTGACTGTGAGGTACAGGGTCATATGTTCGCCGTCCGTGGCGAACCGTTCGGGACATCACTAGTCACTAACCCTCTAAAAATACCATCAGGCCAAGCCTCGGCCTGGTGTAAAGAGGTTGGTTACAGCTTAATCTATATATGTCAAAAAGTCTTTTTTTTTTGCTCAGATATTGGGACTACTTTACGCCATTATCAGGTAGCATTATCAAAGTCCCATATCATCATATGCTTTTTTAATACACCAATAAAGGAAAAGAGAAAAGGAAAAGAAAAAGAGGGGGAAATAGAGAAAAAAAAGTAGGGAGAGTTCTGCCTATACTACTAACATTAGTGGTCTATTGACTCGTCATCAGTATGTCTTAAAGTAATCGTGCTATGATGTTTCTGCCCCAAACGCTAGCCAAGGTTCCCATGTCCTAACATAGTGGTCTCCCCTGAATGGCCCAGTGCACTTCTTCAAGTTCCCTCAAAGCATCCACTCTAAGAATCCATTGCACTTTAGTCAGGATACTAGGTTTAAGTCAATACAACGGGATCAAAGCATTTGCCTCATTCAATAAATAACTCAGCCATGTCTGTTTATTATTCTCCTTAAAGGAAGCTGGCCATCCCAATAGAATCTTAGATGGGGATAGTTGATCAGGCATTGGTAAAATTTTATAAATGACATTCAATACCTGTAGCCAATAGCTCTTAATAAGTTTGCACTCCCACCATATATGTTCCATATTCGCCCCCCTCTCACCACATCTCCAACAGCCATCTGAGGCTGGTAAACCATATTTTCTAAGTCGATCTGGAGTATTGTACCATCTAGTAACTCTTTTAAAAAATATAATCTTCCTAGGAGTTCTCACCTGGGCTTTCATCCCCATTTTGAACACAAACGACCAATCATTGCTGGTCATTTGAATGTTAAAACCTTGCATGCATTTCAATTGGAATGAAGGGACAGTCTTCTCCATAGCTCCCTTATGAATTAGACTATATATACTAGACCGATACCGTTTTTTCTCTATCCCAGGACCACAAAGTAACACAAATTCTGTTCTCTCGTCTGCCAATATGGTAACAGAAAAACATTAAATACATGATATCCATTCTATCTATAAGAGCTGTCATCTTGTCCCAGGAAGGGAACTCTCTTAACCCCTTAAGGACTGGACTGTTTTTGCGATGTTGTACATTTGCGACCAGGAATATTTTTACACTTTTCTGGTGTTTGTGTTTGGCTGTAATTTTCCGCTCTCTCGTTTACTGTTCCCATACAAATTATATATTGTTTTTTTCAGGACAAAAGGGGCTTTCTTTACATACCATTATTTATATAATCTCATGTATTTTAATTTAAAAAAAATAAAAAAATATGATGAAAAATTGAAAAAATACATGTTTTTTGACTTTTACTTGAAAAATCTTTTACTCATCTACAAAAGCGAATGAAAAAAACTGCTAAATAGATTCAAAATTTTGTCCTGAGTTTAAAAATACCCAGTGTTTACGTGTTTTTTTGCTTTTTTTTGCATGTTATAGGGCTATAGGTACAAGTAGGATATTGCGGTTTCAAAACATGCATTTTTAAAATTTATCAATAGTGACATTGTAACACTATTATCTGTCATAAATCTCTGAATAACACCCCACATGTACATATTTTTTTTAAAGCAGACAACCCAGGGTATTCAATATGGGGTATGTCCAGTCTTTTTTAGTAGCCACTTAGTCGAAAACATTGGCCAAAGTAAGCATTCATATTTGTTTGTGTGTGAAAAAAGTAAAAAAACTAAATTGAACGCTAATTTTGGCCAGTGTTTGTGACCAAGTGGTTACTAAAAAAGACTGGACATACCCCATTTGCAATACCTTGGGTTGTCTTCTTTTGCAAATGGTATGCCATCATGGGGGTAATTCTCATTCCTGGGCTACCATACGCTCTCAAAGGCAACGTAACCAACCTGGCCATTTTCAATGTAAAAATATTTGACCCATGTATTTGACCTTGTAACTTTCAAAAATGCTATAAAACCTGTACATGGGGGTACTGTTTTACTCGGGAGACATCGCTGAACACATATATTAGTGTTTAAAAACTGGAAAACGTATCACAACAATTATATCATCAGTAAAAGTGCTGTTTGTGTGTGAAAAATGCAAAAAAGTAACTTTCACTGACAATATCATCACTGTGATATGTTTTACTGTTTTGAATCACTAATATTTGTGTTCAGCGAAGTCTCCCGAGTAAAACAGTACCCCCCATGTACAGGTTTTAGGGTGTCGTAGAACGTTACAGGGTAAAATACAGTGCTAGCAAATTAAATTCTCTGGACTTTCGGCCTGGGTTGGCAGGCAGGTCCCTCAAATTGCAATTAATAAAATTACTTAATTATTTAAAAATATTACATAAATACGCACGTAGAATTTAAATATATATGCATATTTATATATTTGAAGTCTACGTGTATATTTATATAATTATTTATGTAATTTTGTATATGGATGTATGTATATTTCTTATTATTTTTATTTATTTTTATATACATAGATATATATACAAATTAATTCTAAGTGTATTTTGATATAAATATATATATATTAATTTTAAAATACAGTTAGAATAAAATTTCATATAGCTATATAATTTTTTTTAAATTTTTTATTATTATTTTAAAATTTTTTATTTAATTTAAATTACTTATTATTTATATTTTATAATAATATATATATACAATCTATATAGTTATTATATATATTATATATATACGTGTGTAATTTAATTATAAGTGTATTTTTATTTTAATATAAGTACATATTAATATAAAAATACACTTAGTATGGTATTATATATATGATATATAGACATATATTATATAGATATAATATATGTCTATATATCATATATACACATATATAATTATTATAATTTTTTTTATTAACACTAACTTTATTTTTTTTTTAGATTTTACACTAGCAGGGAGACTGCCTGTCAGCACAGGCAGTCCCCCTGCAGGCAGACACATGGACACCTATTGTGACCATGTGATCGCTGTGTTAAGCGATCACATGGCCACAGGGGTCCTAATCTGCCGTGGGGAGACTGTCTGGGCTGCAGGCAGTCTCCCCACAACCGGAGCCACGCTGATCGCCGCCGGGGGAACGACGGCGATCAGGTAAGTAACGGAAACCGTTAGGACGGTTCAGGACCGTCATCGGTCCGCAATGGGAAAATCCCGATGACGGTCCTGAACCGTCCTCGGTCGGGAAGGGGTTAATCTAGTGGGTGTTCCATCTGTTATTAAACCTGTTACTAAAGGGTCGGCTTCTCCTGTTAACTTTTCCAGTAGTTTGTGGCCCGGCCCAAACTGGAAATCCAAGTTAGATGCTATTGGGAAGAATACACATAATCCTGGGGATAACCCCATCTATCTTTAAGCCTTCTCCAAATATGTATGGTGTGGTTTATAATTGGATGGTTAGAGGGTGATAATAAATTAAATTTACAATTCTGCCAAGGCAGGGTTTCCAACTTAACCTTTATAAAATCCTGTTCTATCTTGTACCATGGCTTTTCCTTATCTATAGCTGTCCATTCTCTAATTCGCGCACATAGTACCGCGACATAGTATCTATAAATATGCAGGAGGCCCAAGCCACCTCTCTCAACTGGTAATGTCAATATATTATATGCAATACGTGGAGTTTTTTTATTCCATATGAATGAAAGGAATGTAGTTCGCAGTTTTCTAAAGAAATCTCTCGGCAGTGAAACAGGCAATGTCTGAAATAGGTATAATACCTTAGGTAATATCATCATTTTTATGATATTTACTCTCCCGATCAATGAAAAGGAGGCCTGGTTCCATTTTTTTAGATCTTCTTCAATCTTTCTCATTAATTTTCCATAATTCAATTTAAATAAATCTTTTAAATGTACCGTCAGTTGTGTCCCTAAGTATGTTATAATAGTATCTGTCCACTTATATTTATATAGCTTTTGTAATTTCTCTTTAACTCCTATACTTATCCCCACTCCCAGTATTTATTTTTTATTTTAAAATTAGATAAGCTACCAAATTTCTCCAATTCTTCATGAACATAAGGAAATGTATATCGGGGTTCGATAAGCAGAAATAAAACATCATCGGCAAAATCAGTTACTTTTACCTCTCCTCCCGTAAACTTATATCCTTTAATGTCAGTATTCTTTCGTATGGCCAGAGACAAAACCAGCTTGATCAGGGTGGATCAGTCTAGGCATAAGGGGCTTAAGACTAGGGCTTTTATTAAGAGGCATTGCCTTTATCACTGCCGAAAGCTCCTGAAAGGAGAACAGTTCCTCCAATTGAGCTGATGTTTCTTCAGACATTTTTAATGGAATATTTTTACATAGATATTGTTCTCTTTCATGTGGGGTCTTCTCAGGGGGCTTTAAATTATAAAGATCTTTATTATTATTATTATTATTATTATGATATTTATAGAGCGCCGTCAAATTCCGCAGCGCTTTACAATGGGTGGACGAACAGACATGTAGTTGTAACCAGACAAGTTGGACACACAGGAACAGAGGGGTTGAGGGCCCTGGTCAATGAGCTTACATGCTAGAGGGAGTGGGGTAAAATGACACAAAAAGGTAAGGATAGTATTAGACTAATGACAGTTGCAGAAGAGGAATCAGTCAGGAGCTATTAGCAGTTTAATTGATTGCTTTTATGAAGGAGTGGAGACTGGGTGAGCATCTAACAGAGGAGGGAAGCGAGTTCCACATGCAGGGCCGTCTTTAACGCGGGGCAAACGGTGCAGCTACCCCGGGCCCAGTTGCTCCTGAGGGGCCCCAGAGCAGCTGCCTTGTGGGCCCCGCGATTTGAGCAGCTCCCATGGACCTGGCGGGGCGGCTGCACAGAGCCACACCAACCATGCACTAAGGGCCGCCCGGTGGGCATGTGTCAGCAGGGGCCCGGTCGGGCACTGTGACACTTAAACAGCGCGACCGGGCCCCTTCCTGTTCGGCAGCTGCCTGGGAGGAAGTGAGTGCCGCGCGTCACTTCCTCCCACTGGAGATCACAACCGCGCGGGAGGAGAAAGGCAGGGAGGAGGGGAGTTCCAGAGGAGAACTCCCATCTGCCTCAGCCTGCCACTGGACCAGGGAAACCACCCTCCAGAAAAAGGTAAGAAACTGGAGGGTGGCTAAATGTATGTCTGTGTGTGTGTGTGTGTGTGTGTGTGTGTGTGTGTGTGTCTATGTCTGTCTGTGTGTGTGTGTGTCAGTATGTCTGTGTGTGTGTCAGTATGTGTGTATGTATGTCTGTGAGTGTCAGTATGTCTCTGTGTGTCTATGTCTGTCTGTGTGTGTCAGTATGTGTGTATGTATGTCTGTGAGTGTCAGTATGTCTATGTGTGTGTGTGTATGTCAGTATGTATGTATGTCTGTGAGTGTCAGTATGTCTCTGTGTGTCTATGTCTGTCTGTGTGTGTGTGTATGGCAGTATGTCTGTGTGTCACTAAGTCTGTGTGTGTGTCTATGTCTGTCTGTGTGTGTGTATGTCTCTATGTGTGTGTGTGTATGTCAGTATGTCTGTGTATGTATGTGTATGTCTGTGTGTGTGTGTCAGTATGTCTGTGTGTATGTCTGTGTGTGTCTGTATATGTCAGTATGCCTGTGTGTGTCAGTATGTCTGTCTGTGTGTGTGTGTGTGTGTGTATGTCAGTATGTGTGTATGTATGTCTCTGAGTGTCAGTATATGTCAGTATGCCTGTGTGTGTGTTTGTCAGTATGTCTGTGTGTGTGTCAGTATGTCTGTGTGTGTGTCAGTATGTCTGTGTGTGTCAGTATGTCTGTCTGTGTGTGTGTGTGTGTGTATGTCAGTATGTGTGTACGTATGTCTGTGAGTGTCAGTATGTCTCTGTGTGTCTATGTCTGTCTGTGTGTGTATGTCAGTATGTCTGTGTGTCACTAAGTCTGTGTATGTGTCTATGTCTGTCTGTGTGTGTGTGTGTATGTCTCTATGTGTGTGTGTGTGTGTGTGTGTGTATGTCAGTATGTCTGTGTATGTATGTGTATGTCTGTGTGTGTGTGTCAGTATGTCTGTGTGTATGTCTGTGTGTGTCTGTATATGTCAGTATGCCTGTGTGTGTGTTTGTCAGTATGTCTGTGTGTGTGTCAGTATGTCTGTGTGTGTCAGTATGTCTGCCTGTGTGTGTGTGTCAGAATGCCTGTTTGTGTGTGTCAATAGGTCTGTCAGTGTATGCGTCTGTGTGTGTCAGTATATTTGTCAGTTTATGTGTCTGTGTATTCATGAATGTGTGTCTGTGTGTGTGTCAGTATGTCTGAATGTGTGTCAATATGTCTGCCAGTATATATTTGTGTCAGTGTATGTGTATGTCAGTATGTATCTGAGAATGTTTTAATATGTCTGTCTGTGTGCGTATGTGTCAGTATGTCTGTCAGTGTGATTGCGGGTTGGGTGTAATTAGGGGGTTGGGGGGGAAGGAGCAGGGCCCAGGGGGCCCAAGAAAATGCATTGCCAAGGGTCCTAATCATATTATAGACGACCCTGTCCACATGAATGGTGCAGCTCTTGAGAAATCTTGAAGGTGAGCATCAGAGGTGGGAGTACGGACAGAAGATAGACGTAAGTCTTCAGCAGATCGTAAGGGCCTAGACGGGACATACTTGTGTATAAGGGAGGATAGGTAGGTGGGAGCAGCATTATGTAGAGATTTGAAAGCAAGAACCAGAATTTTAAATTGAGCGCTATATTTTATAGGAAGCCAATGTAGGGACTGATAGAAGGGTGAGGCATGGGAGGTGCGAGCGGACAGGAAGATGAGCCTCGCCACCGCATTCATAATGGACTGTAACGGCGCTAGTGGGGAGCACATAAGACCACTGAGAAGCGGATTACAGTAGTCAAGGCGAGAAAGGACAATAGTTACTGAAAGTGTTTGCTATTTCCTCAGTAGTATTACAAATTTTCCCTTGTTTATCTTTAATTTTGGATATATATGTTTTTTGTAACTTTATTTTTAAGACTTTAGCTAACAATTTCCCACTTTTATCCCCATGTGTATAAAATATGCTTTGTGTCAACTGCACTGCTCCTTGGGCCTCATAAGTCAGTAATGACCTCAATTTAGATCTAATTGCCGATAAATAGTTAACATTTTCTTGAGTTGGAGTTTGCTTATGAATAAACTCCATTGTATCTAATTTTTTTACGAGCCTTTGTATTTCCTCGGCTCGTTCCTTTTTACATATAGCACCCCATTTGATTAAGACCCCCCGGATCACACTCTTGTCTGCTTCCCATATCCATGATTCATTAATATCGTCTGTGCAATTATCTAAAAAATATTGAGAAAGAGTTTCTGATAGGTCCTTGGTGACCCTTGGATCGTCAAGAAGAGACTCATTTAATCTCCAGATGTTATTACCCTTCACATGACCTTGCAGTTCAATATCCCAAAAAATGGGGGCGTGGTCAGACCACGTAATATTCCCTATTTTTGCTCCTTTTACCAAATGTAGATATCTATGATTTACAAAAAACATGTCTATCCTAGAATAACTATCTGCAGCTGATGAGTAAAAAGTATAGTCCCTTTCACACTGATGGAAAATACACCAGCAGTCAATCAATTGGTAGGAGTGCAAAATTTCCAGGACTAATGACCTCTGACTCTTCTGTGTTTCTCTCGTATTTGAAGAACTATCCACTGTATAATCTAGCACCATATTGCAATCCCCACCACTTATCAAAACCCCTTCCTTGAAATCTTCCAGTTTCTTTAGACAAGAAAGATGTTTGGCTAGCGTTAGGGACATATATATTTGCAAGCGTAATCATTTGGTCATTGACCTTCCCTTTTAAGAAGATATATCTACCTCCTCGATCCATTTTACTATCTAGTTGGACAAAGTTCAAATCAGAATTTAAAATAATTGCCACTCCTCTAGACTTGCCTTTCATAAAGTTGCTATAGAAAGTCTGCTTAAATTTGTTCGTGTTAACTCTAGGCTGAAAAGTGTTTTTATAGTGAGTTTCTTGAATAAATACAATATCTTTTTTTTGCCTTTCTAATTCCAGGATAGAGCATTTCCTTGGGGAGTTCAGACCATTAACGCTCAAAGACATACAACTAATCTGTACCATAGTAAAAATAATAGAAAAAATCCCATATCTCCGGCTACTGAACTCAAGCCAATTACCACTTCTCCAATATTTAGGCAAAAAACAAAAACAAAAAGAAAAATAAATATAAGAAGAAAAGAAAAAGGGCAAAAACTAAATATATAATCTTAATATAAATGCTATATCCAAAATAGGATAAGATACCACCCCTGTGGGAGACCCATTTGTGTTCACAAGACATATAGGCATCTTCTTAAGGGGGGCGGGGGTGAGGGAAAGGTAAATGGGAGCAAAGTTGTAAACTAATTTATCAAGAGACCTCCAAAAGTACTCTGAATTGCCCTAACGCGTCATCTCATGCTAACCCGCTTCACAGGACCTTCTGATGTTATTAAGGCAATCATTCCCTAATGGCCTCAGCAGTTTTTTTTGTTTTGTTTTGCTTGGCCATTTAGGTTTTTGTGGCTCTTGTAGTGGAGGGATGCCTGAAAGGCCTGTCCAGTCTTCAATCTCAATAGGAGGGAGCCCCAAAGCTTTTAAGAAATCTGGTATATCTGCTGGTGTCTTTATCGTATGTATTTTGGAGTGTCGAAAAACCATTAGTGCAAATGGATAATTCCACCGATATTTTATTTGTTTCTGTCCCAGTAGAAGAGTGATTGGTCTCAAAGCCTTACGCGCCATTAAGGTAGAAGGTGAAAGATCTTGAAAAATTGCAATAGAATGTTCATCGAATTTAATTTCCTTCATAAGTCGGGCTTTCTGTACTATCTTCTTTTAATAAAAAGTCATGGATGCAGCAGATTAAATCTCAAGGATTTTCTTGGGGTGGATTTCTTGGTCTTCCTATTCTATGTGCTCTATCTAGCTTGATCTTAGAGTCCGGAGATCTTCCTAAAATTTGATTGAAAATATGAGTAAGAATGTTTGTAGGATCCTCTAGTTCGTCCTGCCTAGTTTCAGGGACCCCTCTTATCCATAGATTATTTTGTCTTCCCTGATTGTCGATATCGTCTAATTTCCTTTATAAGGACAGAATAGCTTCAGTCTGCGATCTCTGTAATTTCTGACATTCATTCCACTGATTTTCACTTGTTTCTTGATTATCTTCCAATGCACAAACCCTATCTCCTAAATGATGTATTTCTGAGATGACAGCTTTTAATTTTTCACCAAAACTATCTTCCATTTTTTTAAACATATCCGTCGAATCCACTTTAGAAGGTAGTTGTGCCAGGATTGTTCTAAGATCAGGGCCTTCTGTTGAACCATCTGATATCGTAGGGCTTACTGGTGAACTTAAAGGTTCAAAGACTGGAAATGCCCCTTTCTCGATATGGTCATGTTCCTGGCCTATTCGGTCTGTACTTAGTCTTTGTGGCGATAAATTTGATATAGCGGATTTAAGTCCTACAGCAGTTGTCGCTATCTGACGGGTTTTTTTGGGTCCCATTATTTCTCAAATATATCTAGGTGTGCCGCCTTCCCCAGAGCTTTACAATACAAAAGTAATAGAACTTGATGTTTGGGTAATATAGTTTGGTAATTTAAGTCCTTATAGCTCCAGCTATACTTTAGGGGTAACTAGGGGCTATTGACTTCGGGTTCTTCAAGCCATATGCTTTCGGGCCCTGTTCAATATTACCCAATTCCCCGTTTGCAGGTCTAATAGATGCTCTCTATAGTTTTAGATAATCTTCAGAAGATCTCCAAGTACCACTCGGTAATCTAGCTGCACTGTCTCTTAATGTGGCCCAGTTGTTGAAGTAGCTCAATTAAGCTGACTACTAACTGACTAATAGCTGGCCATTACTAGCTTATGAAAATTTATATATGAAAAAATAATAAACTCCAGTCACGCCAGAAATTATTAGTCGTTAATCAAGAGCGTAAAGCCGTAATTAATAGTGGTCATTGCTGTAAGGGTTACCCAGAAAAGTCTACAAAGTAAGCAAAACTATATTCCTCCTTGCAAAAAAAAAAAGAAATGAAGAGACCCTGTATTCCCACTTTTCTTTTCCTCTTCAAAAAAACCCTTCCTTCCTTTAACTTTGGTATGGAGGCCATTAAGCAGAAAGTAGCAGCAGCAACAGCAGCGAGTAGCAAATATTATGCAATTCAACACTATCAGCTCCAGTTGTCAAATGCACTTTTGTAGCAATATTGACACCAGTAACAATATGATTCTCATTATAGTTTTAACTCTGGTAACAGTGTTGACTCTTATGATAAATCACTCCAATATCTCCTGTAGCACTCTAATATCCCAGTTCAGTAATGAGTATGAAGTGTTACAATATGATATATGTTATGCAATATTTCAATATTCAGTGTTTCAATTTCAGTACTCAGTATCCACTATTCATTGTATCAAATGTATCAAATATGTCAAATGTATCAGAAGTATCAAATCAGGTACAAATCAGATACCAAAGTACTAAATGAATACAGTGATCAGCCCTTATACTGGATATACTGAATGTATAGTAAATGTATAGTGATTGTCTGCTGAGTGTTTTCTACTTGCGTGAGCTGGAGGGTAGTATCTCCCAAAAGAGAGACTAAAACCTTGTGTCTCGTCGTTTTAATGCTGAGCAGGCAGCGCAGGCAGTGCCTGGCGTCTGTATCCGTGTCCTTGCCTGTCTTCGTGCCCTCGTGCCAGAAATCCAGGTAGCTCACTGAACACTGCTGGCATTCGATCTTTTAATTGGCAGGTAGTCACAACTTTTCCTTCCCGATCACCACCCAATCGCCAACGCTGATCAACGTTCACGCTCACGCTCACTACCGCACCCGCTTACTCCAAGTATCTCCCGCCACCTCTCGATCCACGTACCTCCTCACCCCCCCCTCAGACGGGGCGTACTCACGTCACGTCATCCTCCTGCATCCTCCTGAGATCAAAAAGTCTTGTTACAACCCTGCCACTAAGTATTAGTGGCCACTCCAGCCACTATTTGCCTGCCGCTACAGGCAACACAGGAAGTGCGCATGCTCAAGTGTGTTTCTGTCCTTTACCAGAAAACCGCTAATATGTGAGTGGTTGTATCTGTTGCAGCAGCTGTGATTAGTGATAGGCCCTGTGGTTGGCAAAACAGTAGCCTTTTTCAAATTACAAATCCTTTCCCAATTACTTGCCTCTGTGAATGGATGTTAGTTATCTGCCTCTGTGAATGATACCCCAGCCACATTATATTCCATCCAGTGTTTCAAATATTGCTAAATTATCTCCTGAAAGTGCTTTTGAAATAGCAATGAATGTTGATACTTTTAATAGCTATGTAGATAATATTTGGGTGTTTATTTTTGTAGAGAATATTATAACTCTTTTATTTAAGCCCATTATTAAACCATCAGTGAACAAAATCAGCATGCAAATTGATGCATTGATATCTTTTAGCATTTCCCTTGTTATTGTATGCCTGAGAGCCCATTGTAGCATGCTTGATAAGAACAGCTCACTGACAAGAGCTGATTCTTTTTGTATAGTGATGATTAAGTGCTATTTGATACTCAACACCTCTATCCAATCAAAACTCCTGAAATCCCACCAACCAAAGCCATATTTTCTGCACAAATGTTTATGACTGATATACAGATGGGTAAGCCGAGAACAAAAATAAAAAAGGAATTATAGACTAGTAGCAAATAGTACCTGTAAGCTACACGAAATCGTACATAACCCTTTAGTCTATTTTATGTAACATAGGCTTAAATCGTGTGTGCTTAATAACATTGATTATATTTTAATCCTTTGATTAAACATTTAGAGGAGTAAACTCAAATCTGCAATGATTCATTCTCTTCTTTCCTCTCCCCACATAATTTTTATTTATTTTTTTGGCAACCTTTCTTTTATTGAGGCATAGTAAAACAGTACAGAATAGAAATACAGAGTTAAAACATAAGTAGACAAATCACTAACGAAGTAGTAAGGAACGTAGCATTAACTCCTGAGTAGGCAGCCTCAGTTTTTGTTTTTTTGGGTATATAATGAACAAGCTTGGCTAACACATCTAAGTATGTAATCAGACAGTATGAGTGAAACAATTAAGATGAGCTAGACATGTGCAAGATGGAAATACCACTAGGCAAATATGCCAAATAGCAAGTTAATCGGTTGGGGCATTATTACTGAATTATCACAGCTTAAACATGCCTAACATAGGCAGCAAGTTCTAAACGTGTAGTTGTGATGCTTAAATGAGGCTAACTGCCCAAGGTACTCCTATAAAAATAGCAATAATCCGTCATGCATAACAGTAGCACATGCATGACAGTCTCCCGTAAAAGACCCCCAACCCACTCTGATCTCTGCGGTGCTCATCAGTGAGAAAGTCACAGCACATAGACAGGTCCATCCGATTCTGCTTCACTAGCCCCAAGCTCCATTCAAGCTAACATCTAGTGCCCTCGGATCCATGATCGGTGTACGTGAGGGGGGAAGAGGGGGAGCCATGGCATTGGCCATTTTGGATTTCCAGTGCCAGAGTATTAGCTACAGGCCCCCCTGATGCCTGTCTCTCTGCCTAACAGTGGGGACCGGGATAACCCCCACCAGTCCAAAGGGGGGGAAGCGGTACCAGAAAGTTGGAGTTTTAGTAGCCAGTGAGTTTCAATCAGGCCTGAGAGCAGAGCGGTGGCCATTCAATGTGTCCCTGGCTTGAGTAGGCCTCAACAATGTTGACAATGTTTTATTCAGTATAACATAATATGGAAATGCAAATGTAATACTTAGTGTTTAGGTGATAAACCCCACCAAATAACACAAAGGGCTAGTGCAGCACTATAAATAAATAATAACTTACACCTTAATACATATACTGGGGCAGCATGTAAATATATAAAAATATACAAAAAAAACAAATAAAAGGGGGTGGCCAGGGCATGACCACCGATTGAGCTGGATGCAGGCTGAATGAGCTCCTAGGCCTGACTTATCTATTAAGCACATAAATCAAAGATTTCCTTCAATTTCACAAATATCGCTCTTGAGACGAAAGGGGAACTAACCTTGAAGCAGGTTAAACACTCTTGGAAGCCCAAAATGATCACAGATCTCAGTGTAGCTTGCGGCCTACCACTTGTCCCTAGGTGGCGGAAACAGACAATCCTCCATCTGGGATTTTCGGGTTCGACAAGTGCTTGGTTCCCCTCCTCCCCCCTTTCGACCAGTGGGGGTTATCCCGGTCCACACTGGACTGAACAAGCAGACATACTCTAAATTACTAATGGCAGCACTAAGTTAAAGGTCGAAGGTTGGATTACCCAAAATGGCTGACACTTGTAAAGCTTATAGCTGGAATCAAGAGCCACAAGGCTCCGACTCGGCAACCATAATCTCACAGATGCTGGCTCGATTCCAGAGATTTTGGGACAAACAAGAGCACCACACCGACCCGCCGCAACCAATACCTTAACCCACTGAAGACCGCAAGTGGCATAGTGAAGGGAAGCAGAAGAGGCCTATACAAGGCAAATATGTCACCTATATGTCACCTATGCTGCCCCCTCCCCCCATCGAGACAGAGAGGGGTCTTTTTTATATACACCCCTATATACTTATTAACCCTTAATAGGGAACACATGGGATGGGCGGCAACATTGTAACAAAGCTGTGTGATACAGTTCCATGAGGACATACAGGGCCTGGGTGACCGCGTGGGCCGCGTGGAGGCCACATGTGACCAGCTCAGATCGGCCTATGCCCAAGTAAGTGACACACAAGCACAGCATGAGGACATTTTGAGGTGGATGGCATTACATGTGGAAGACCTGGACAACCGGGGGAGGCGTAATAACTTAAAGGACCACTATAGTGCCAGGAAACATACTCGTTTTCCTGGCACTATAGTGCCCTGAGGGTGCCCCCACCCTCAGGGACCCCCTCCCGACCGGCTCTGGAAAGGGGAAAGGGGTTTAAACTTACCTTTTTCCAGCACTGGGTGGAGAGCTCTTCTCCTTCTCTCCTCCTCCGTTCCGCCCCGTTGGCTGAATGCGCACGCGCGGCAAGAGCTGCGCGCGCATTCAGCCGGTCGCATAGGAAAGCATTTACAATGCTTTCCTATGGACGCTGGCATGCTCTCACTGTGAAAATCACAGTGAGAAGCACGCAAGCGCCTCTAGTGGCTGTCAATGACACAGCCACTAGAGGATTAGGGGGAAGGCTTAACCCATTAATAAACATAGCAGTTTCTCTGAAACTGCTATGTTTATTAAAAAATGGGTTAACCCTAGCTGGACCTTGCACCCAGACCACTTCATTAAGCTGAAGTGGTCTGGGTGCCTAGAGTGGTCCTTTAAAGCTTGAAACTGACTCTCATCACCTACAGACCATTCTGGCAGAAATTTTAAATGGCCTCCTGCATAGAGACCCTGCTGCCCGCTGGGGCTTGTGAGGGTCCACTTACCTCTGCGCCCGAGAGGACCCCAAGACGCACTGCCAAGATATGTCATATGCTGCATTATTTGCAGATAAAGAATCTGTGCTGCAGGCGGTCAGGGAGAAGGACGTAAATTGCTACAGGCAAGCTGACCTACAGCTATCCCCCGACCTCTCCCCAGCTACATTGCAGTACCGGAGATTGCTCAGGCCCCTGACCCGGGCCCTCCAGGCATCAGGAACCAGGTACCGTTGGCTCTTTCCATCTGGGCTATCGGTGACCCCACCAGAAGGACCTGTAGTGATACGTACCCATGCGGACTTTGTTCATTTGGGGACTCTCATTTCCATCCCCTCGTTGAACATGAAATGGCCTGACCCCTCAGACTTTTACTTGCCTGACGCCATGAAGCCTCCAGGCCTTACCCCAGAGGGACCGACCACCCCACCAAGTGGGGGCAGCTGGGGCAGCTGGGGCCCCATCTTAAACAGATACCCCCTGTGATGCTTTACCTGCATGCCCTCACCCGCCGCGATGACCTCCTGGAGTACCCCCTTCCTCAATAATTCGGGCTTGAGCAACCACAGCCTGAGTGGGAGATTGCCCCGTACCCAGCTGGTCTGGACCAGGGAATTTACCTACCTCAGTCGCTCTAGCATGAGAACTAGTTGCTCATTACTGTTAGCATCCAGGCTACCTGGCCCCTACCATGCTTTGTGACTGCCTTTTAGGAACAGCCCCAAAAACGCTGGCACGTCACACTCAGCCCCACCCCGGACAGACAGACTAGTGACCTGGAGTGACCAGTTACCCAAGACCCTACGGGCCAACCCCCCCCCCCCTGGGCATAGGTAGAATGAACCTGGGACCTAGCCCCTTTTCCCCCACGGAACTCAAACTCTTCTCAATTAACGCCCGAGGGCTTACCACCCCTGAGAAACGCTTGCTTGCTCTAAAATATTTAAAAGCTCAAAAGGCCCATATAGTTTATTTACAGGAAACTCACTTCAGGGAAGACAGTGCATCAAAATTAACCAATCATATCTTTACACAAGGCTACTATTTCTTTTTTACCAAAGAAATCCCACCCAAAAATTCAGCATCCTTTTTTCCCCCAAGTCAAAGGTTTTCATAAATGTAAATCATGTATTGTATGTAAAACCACTGATTCTACTGTACAGTCCAAGACCACCCAATTCACTTCAAATGTGGTCCCTTTTTCCTCACACAGTACACATGTTTTCACTCTGATAATAAACTGTCCTTTTAAGATCGATTCCAATATGCTGGACCTATTAATGGGTAAATGTATATAACCATCCGCA